CCCGATGTGGGGCTCGATCCCAGGACCCTGGGATCATGACCTGAGCCGAAGGCAGTCACTTAACCAACGGAGCCACCCAGGCGCCCTAGTGTTGGATTTTATAGTTATTGTCAGGCCTACCATCAACTCCAGGACGGGGACACAGTTTGGTGAGCCCATCCTTTCTGGTTCCTTCTCCACTGTTCTATGACTCTCTGACCCTCTACTTGGATCTCTCCCTATGCTGAGTCATGCTGTTAGGCTCTGCTTTGGGCAGTGCTCCTGGTATGACCTAACCTCTGGGGGTGGATGGGTGAGGGAGACATGTTGATCTGGAGTCAGACATCCTGATTTCCAGTCTTGGCGACATCACTGAGCAAATGAGTGCGTCTCCGAGCCTTACTTTCCTCCCCTATATAACCAGGATGACTGTATTTATTTGACAAGGTTGCCATGAAGATCAAACAAGATAGCACAAGAGCAGCAGGCCTACATAGGTGCTCAGTAAACGGTATCTATTATTTTTGCAAGGCTTTCTTGAACATCTGGGGAGGCTGGTGGGGAAGAGGAGACAGACGACGACTCTCCTGCATGATTAGCACTGGCCCTGTTGTCCCAAGGGCATGGAGACCAGACTCTAAATCTGCTAGTACTGGGGAGGGGGAGGTTGACTAGGGAAAGAGGGCCCTGGGAGCCTTGAGGGTGCACAGAACAAGACTGGGAAGGGCGTCCTAGACTGAGGGCACAGCATGAATAAAAGCAGGGAGGCAGGAAGGAGTCTGAGGAATTGGTGAGTTCAGGTCGTTGGGTGAAGCCACAATGGGGGTGTCATAGGCAGGTCACAGAGGGCCTTGTAAGCAACCAATGAAAACCGAGCTTTCCCGGGAGGAAATGAGGTGCCAGTGAAGGGCTCACACAGGAAGTGATGATCAGATTTTCATTTCAGAAAGGCTTTTTCTGGCTGCCCTGTGGAGTCTCCTGGGAGGCGGGAGGAACGGGCACACGGAGACTGACTCATGGACTCTTTTCTAATAATCCAAGCAAGATATGACTGAGGCCCTGACTAGGGTGGCAGACATGGGATGGAGGATGGAGTCCACAGGGATTTAGAGAGAAAACCAGTAAGGGGCAGAACCAGGATCTGAACCCAGGTGGGACCACCTCTTTCGGCTGCTCCGGATGGGCCCACGAACAGCCTGGGCCCAGTGAACTTCCCCTCAACCCGCCTGCAAAACCACCCTTCACGAGCCTGAGAGCTGGACGCTGAGGAGTCCTGTTCGGGCTTCCACCACAGGGAAAGAGGCGCACTTGGCCCAACACCACCCTCTGGTGGCTGAGCACAGAGGTTACCGACGTCAGCTGAGCACCAACCTGCCCAAGTCTGTTGCAGCCGCCTCCTCTCTGAAGTCACCAAGCCTGAAGCCTGCCCACCCAATGAGCTCATGTAGCACCTGGGCTGTCTGGATAGATGAACCCCGCTTCACGTCTTACCTTCCCCCTCCTTATGTTGGGTGACCTGACAAGTCACTTCCTGCCCTGGGCCTCACTCTCCTTTTCGGTAAACAGGGGGTGATGCTTCCTGCATCAGCTTGGGCCTGGCACGTGGACTGTAGCCGGCACTGTCCCGTCCCACAGAGAGGCAGCTTCCTCAGACTCTGGCCAGTGCCACTCTCTGCCCCAGGCTGGCCCTCCCTGCCCCATTGACCCTGTCCTACCCCGAAAGGCAGGGCAGGGCAGGGGCACTGCTGGTGGCTAATCTGGGTGCTGCCGGCTTCACCCCTGCCATGAGACACTAAGCCCTTGGCCACCGCACTCCCTCTCACTGAGCCTTGGCGTCCTCACTAGACTCCCCGCCCGCTTCGGGGTCGCACGGAAGGGGCTGTGTACAAACTGTGGTGTGCCGTGCCCTGAGGCCCTGGTAAAGACTTGCTCGAGTCCTTGGGAAGCCGTGATTGTCCCACACTGGTGTCCCTTCCGGCCTGGGCTCTTGGAAGGTGAGCTGAACTGAGGTAGAGATTTGGGGGGCAGGGGAGACTTCCCAACTGCCCTCAAAAAACCCTATAGTTACCCCACCACCACCACCACCCCCAGCTTATTTCCCTGCTTCCCCTGGAAGATTGTTAAGATTCCAGTTAGGAGATCCGCCCTGGGAAGGGCAGGCCCTGCCTCCACTCCTCGGGACAGGGAAGGCCTGGCTCTTTCCAAACAGCTCATTTTGAGTAAGAACTTTGATCCATGGCTTCCTGCCAAGATTTTGCTATTCTTTCCCGACAAACAACAAATCTCTGTTTTGTAACCTCCATTATGAAATGATCGTATTAACAACTACCTAATGTGTACACAGTCATTCACAAAGAAATAGCAAACATCAGTGACCCATTACCAGCATCACCCAAGGGCCCTTCTGGCTTTCCTGTGGCTTCAGACACCCCGCAGCTGCCCTCATTCCATTCTTCCGTCTGGAAGGCTCGCTCACACCTCCAGCTCTTCCTTCAGGGGTCCCTGCCTCGGGCAAAGCACATCTGCTCCCCCATCAGGTTTTTTGTTTTTGTTTTTCTTTGCTGGATACTCCCCCCGAATTTGGCTCCTGCCTTACCGAGCCGCCCACTTGGTAACAGCCATCAGAATCACTTGGGCCTCCCTTAGTGCAGACAAGCTTCCTGCCAGCAGACTGGGGTAAGCCCAGCACCCCCAGTGTCCCCAGGGCCTGCAATGCCTGGTACTGGGCACTCAATAAACACTGATGAATGAATGAAAGGAAGAAACAAACTGCAGGTGAGCCAGCCCCTCTCTGGGCTACTTCCTTTTTTTTTTTTAAGATTTATTTATTTGACAGAAAGAGACACAAGGGAACACAAGCAGGGGGAGTGGGAGAGGGAGAAGCAGGCTTCCCGCGGAGAAGGGAGCCCGACACCGGGCTTGATCCCAGAACCCTGGGACCATGACCTGAGCCTAAGGCGGCAGACACTTAACGACTGAGCCACCCAGGCGCCGCCCCCCTCAATACCCACCACCAGGCCAACCCATCCCCCCCCCCCCCCCCACCGCCTGTTTTTTTGGTAAAGAAGCGATGGCTTCGAGTCAGGGACGGAGTTGTTGAGGATATGTCCCCTGTCCACCTTGCCGGACAGAAGATCCTGTCCTCACTTCTGAAGGTGACCACTGTACTCACAGCTTCACATGTGGTGCCCTCTGCCAGCTCTGGGGTTCAAGGTCACTGGTGCCTGCACCCGACCCCTGAGCCCTCCGTTACTTGCCACTCCCTGGGCAGCCCATATTTGTGTAAATTAAACCCTTGTGCATGGTGGGGACCAATCTGCTACTTGCAAGGAAGCCAGAGGAGGCTGTGCTGATTGTGGGAATTTGGCTGTGGGTGTTGGAAAAGCAAGGATGAGGGTTCAAATCCGTGAACCCCTTGTTTTTAGTCCGGGGATGTAAGGCTGAAGTGAGGCATTGTGAACCCCCACACCCCCACCCCGGTCATGACAACGGGTGGGCCCAGGGAAACCTGACCTGCGGCCCTTACAACCCCAGCCAGCCGTGCCCTCTCTAGCCTGTGCAGCAGGAAGATGGCTCTGGAACGCCCAAGTGCCTCTGGGTCTGCGGAGGGCGGCCGCGGCGTGCAGTGGGGTGGTGGGAGAGCCTGTTGCAGTGGGGAGGCAGAAGCAGCCCTTGGACACAAGGATGTCCGGTGATTTTCACCTGGCAGCCCCAGGCTGTCTCCTTGGTGCGGGCAGGGCCGTTTTTTTCTCGCCAAACTCCTCAAACACTGTTGGACCAGCCATGCCTCCATGCACTGGCTTTCAAACCGTGTTTCCTCCCGTTAGTTTGCTTTCTGTAGCAGCAGAGGCCCTGTTCAGACTGTGTGCTGGACCATGGGTGATGCAGCCTGCCACAGGTGGAGGGCCGGGGGCCCCGAGGACCTCACATAGCTCACCTGAAGACCCCCACCTTCCCAAGCCTCATTGTTTTCTTGCCTGGGAAGAACAGGCCATGGGAAACCAGGAAAGCTATTAACTGGGGAAAAAAATGAAATCACAGAATCTGAGAGCAAGAAAGGGGCCTGAGCCGGCTTCTTATTTGCAAAGCACGTGGATGTTAGTGTTTGCTGAGGCTTCCTGCGTCTGGTAAAGGTCTTGGCGGCCAGGATGCTAATGCTTTGCACCAAGGACCCCTCTCACAGGGACATCTGACCACTGGGCAGCTGCACTGGCTCATTCTGGGCCAGGTCTGCTCTGTTGGGGGCAGCTCATCTAGCAGAGCGGACAGTGGTCCTGGCTGTGGGCTGTGGGCACCAGGAGAGCCAGTCTTTGGGAAACAGAAGCCATTACCGGCCAGCTACTGAGTTGCATTTGGGGTGGGGTGGTGGGGATTTGGCAGCCAACATTTAGCTGTCCCTCTAGTGAGACACAAAGATGGAGGAAAAGCTCGATGATTCTCCAAGAAGAAAATCAGAGTCTAGGATAAGCACACTGGGATGACAGCTCCACCCCAGCTCGTTCTACTTTATTCCAGCATGTTCCACTTCACTCCAGCTCTACAGTCCTGGTCCTTACTCAGAGCCAGAAAGAACCCAAGCTGAATGTCAGCTGGATCACGGCAGGTGGGGAGGGGGAGGCTGGGGTCGCTGAGAATTCCGAGAGACTCGGTCTTCACCCATGTAGCTCTGTGTGACCGAGCATGGCTTTTCCTCCCGATGGTTATCCCTGCTGGGCCTCATGCTCCGTTTCTGATCTTCCCTCCAGAGGCAGGAGGACAGCTCCAAAGGGCCCTGGTGCCCTCCCAGAACCAAGACCCTCAGTTCTGCCATCCAGCTGGCCCCATTTTTCCACCCGGCCACGTCCAGCTGGCCCTGTCCACCCCTGCTGAGCCCCCACGTGCAGAGATGGAGCCTTCTCTGCTCTTCAGACTTGACGCTATGCTCCCTGCATGGCCTGGGGCTCATGCACACACCCCCAGACCAGATCACTAGGTGTGGGTGAGTCCCGGGACTGGTGGACTTTGTCAGGAGTGACAGAAGCTTCTGTGGGCGGGACACTTCCTTGGTGGGCCCTGGCTCATCCTCAGTCTCTGCAAACAGGGGATCAGGTGTCTGTCTGAATCCCCAGTGTGGCCATGCACTGGATGTCCCCTCTCCTGCTCTGCCCCTGTGCCTGGTGGGCCCCACAAGGAGCTGAGATGGTGACACAGGGTGGTGGCTCCTCCAAACACCACCCCACCTGGGAGGGCAAGGGACAGGGAGGGGACTGCTAAGGGCTTGAAGAGCCCAGGCACAGAGGCAGCTGGGGTCTTCACTGCGCTGGGGATGGTCTCCTCGCCTCGAAACCTTGAATCTTCTCCTCGGAGGCCTTGTCTGGGAGCAGCACCTCCACAGTGTAGCTGACCTTCTTGGTGTGCATCAGGCTGTAGGTGTTGTCGAAGCGCAGGACATCTGCAAGGGTGGAGAAGTCGTCCCTCAAAACCAGCCTGACATATCTGCACACCTGGTGCCCTTGGCAATGGGCCCAGGACTGTGGGTGGTGCTGGAGGGTCAGCCACTGCCCCGCCCCCCCAGTGCGCACTGCTCAAGCCATCTCCTTGTGCTAACTAAAGGAATAAGAACCACGGGCATGCACCAGCCCCTTCTATGTGCCAGGTGTCACATCTGCGCTCCCAGCTCTCCAAATCCTCAAAGTAGCCCCACGGAAGGAACTATCATCCCCATTTTAAGGATGAGGAAGCTGAGGCCTACAGAGGTTGAGAGGACTTTCTGTTGAGTACAGAGCAAGGGAAGGGAGGGACTAGGATTCCCTTATCCTGATGCTCCAACCGAGAGAGGAGCTCTGCTCTCCCCATAGGAGAAGGCTGAGCTCCATAAGCCACTTTCCCATCATGCCTTTTAAAGAAGGCATTTCCTTAGATGCGAAGGTGCAAAGTGAACTCTGGGATGTGATGAGTCATCCAGATTTCTCGGTCTCCACCCTTCTAATTCTCCCTCTCCACAAAGGTGAACTAGATATGGATTAACCAAAGCATTAGTAAAACTCGTGCTCCTCAACCCTGGGTTCCCCTTCTCCTAGCTCTGTTCCCGACAGAGGCGGAAGGTCAGTGCTGCTCCCGGGGAACATTGCTTCTGGTAAGACTGAGCTAACTGCATCTGGCTTGGGTGGCCTGAGAATGAAGGATAAACACATGGAAGAATCATCTCTTTGGGATTCCCACAGTGGGACTGCCTATGCACCTGGGCAGCCGGGGACCCCCGAAGGGTACCCCATGGCTGTTTACTTACCTGTCCCTCAGCCTGTTGAGTGCTGTGTAAGGGCTTCCCAGGAGCTGAGTCCATGGCTTTGGGCTGTGGATCCCACTCTCTAAAATGCCTCTCTGCCCTTGTACGCATATCCAGGGGCCACTCACCAGATCTAACGTCCTGAAGCCAATTCCCCTGGCCACCATGGGATCTAGTAGCTCGCATAGACCCCCACACCCTCCCTGAGAGCTGGAAATAGAGGGCAAGCAGGACAGCCTGGCAAGATGTTATCAGCTCATTTCGCTGCCATAAGGAGGAAAACGACTCCAGGGAATCCTACAGCTCTTACAGACGCCGGCCTTGAGGCAGGTGAGGCTCCCGTCCTCAGGGACCACGTGGGCTTTGTAGCGCTGGATGGGCAGCACCTCCACCAGCTCCCCTGCCCGCTGCCACTCGCTCATCTTGGTCTTCAGGAAAACCCCGAAGCCGATGTCCGCCCCTCCTGATGCGAATTGCCACCTGCAGGAGACAAGGCCCCAGTAATGCCACCTGCCCGGGCTCCGGGCCCCTCCCGGCTGTGCCCAGGGCTGCCGTGGCCGCCTACCTGAGCACACAGCCCGGGAACAGGATTTCGTTCTCCAGCTGCATGAAGGAGCCTCGGGCCACGGTCACCGTGTGCTCATAATTCATCCTCACCTGGTTGCGCAGGTAGTAGTTCTTGGGCACATTGCCCCCGTATTTGATCTGTGGGTGAGGCCTGGTGAGCGAGCACTACCCCATGGTCATCACCCCTCCCTCCGACTCCTCTGGGCACCCTGTACCTTGGTCAGGCACTTGGGGTTGCCATCAGGGTCAGTCATGGTCCCCCCAAACTCCACGGGCAGCTGGTCAGGGCTGATGAACTTGGGCAGCTCCTGCTTCCAGTTGCCTATAGGAGCAAGGTTTCGGGGGGCGGTGGGGGGGGCTTAACAGAGAGCAGAGAAGCCACACCCAGGGAGGAAACCTGATATGTCTTTGGCTTGCTCCCTTGAGCACCTACTCCTGAAAGCACCCAAATGCTTTATGTGGCCACCCAGGCTGCGGTCTAGGGCCCGAAGCATTGTCAGAGTGTGCAAAGACCAGTGGGGGTCAGGCCAAGGTCAGTGCCTGAGTAAAGAGGACGAGCCAGGGAGAAATGGGGACTTTCACGTTGACCTCTACTTGCCCAGGCAGAGATGGGCCCAACCAGGAAGCCAAGTCACTCACCTCCGAGAATCACTATCTTCCTTTGCGTTTCCTCACTCATGAACAACTTGACCAAGTTAAAGGCCACGGGGAACAGCTTGGGGGCTGAAACACATGAAACTCCTTTGGGAAGCTGGCTTAGAGAGGACTTGGAGGTATAGTCATGGCCAGGGCCCTGGGCTGGACAAGAGTTGGACAGATCTAGATTCTGCTACTTCCTGCTGTGTGACCTTCAGCTAGTTACTCACCCTCTCTGAGTCTTAGTGTTGTTAACTATAAAACGGAGATAAATTAAACAATGTATGCATAACACTTGGCACAGCTCCTGGCTCTCAATAAATGGTTGCCCCCCCACCTCATTGTAGGGTGTCAGTAATGTGGATTTCCCTATGGTGCCTCTTTTTTTTTTTTTTTAAGATTTTATTTATTTATTTGACAGAGAGAGAGAGAGCACAAGTAGGCAGAGAGGCAGGCAGAGGAGAGGGAGAAGCAAGCTCTCCACTGAGCAGGGAGCCCGACGTGGGGCTCGACCCCAGGACTCTGGGATCATGACCTGAGCCGAAGGCAGCCGCTTAACCGACTGAGCCACCCAGGTGCCCCTATGGTGCCTCTTCTTGTCCACACTCACAGGTTTCCCAAGTTGTCTTGGAATTTTCTTGGGTGCAAGTAGATGGGGCATCTGTATTAGACCTCATGTCCCACCTGAATTGCTCACACTGACTGGGTGCTTTCTGTGGGCTCTTCCTCCACAGACTGTCTCATTTAACCTCATGGCGGTCTTATAGGGAAGGTGTCATTGCATTCCTGTTTTATAGACTGGGAAAACTGAGGCTTAGTAAGGTTAAGTAGACTTGCTCACAATCACAGAGCTAGCTAGACTGGAAAGCAGATCATTTGACCCCAGAGCACACATGGTGTTCCCTTCACTGTACAACCGTCACAGACAGGGACCATTCCCTCTCAAAGCATGTCTATCAGCCAGTGTGGTCCATGAACGATCTGTGACCATTCCACACCGAGAAAAGTAAAGAAAATAACAGATCACTTTTAGAAGCTTATAACTTATTTGACATTTGCTGCAACATACCAGAACAGATTTTGTATATTCCAAAAGTATCGGTCTATGAAGGACTGACTGAAAAAACAAAAAACAAACAAAAAACCCCTGATCTTCACAAAGGATGGCTTGAGAAGCCCTACACTGGGTGATTTACCCACTGATCCCCCCATTCCCCACTCCTCCTCCCCCAAGCGGTCATCCCCATCACGGGCTCACCTCGAATGACAATTAAATTCTTCAGCGTCTCAGGATAATTTGCTTCCAGGATGGCAAAAAACTGTGGCAAGACGAGTCTGGTCAAGGTCATGCTTCAACACATTCTACGCCTGGATTTGGTGGCCTTTAATGCTGCTGAGACAAGAGCCCCTGCCACCCCCTGGCCATCTACCTTCCCCATGAGATGCACTTCATCCCCTGTGATACTCTTGTTCCTCTTTCTCCTTGGAGGTGGGGGGGACTGCAGGCCAGCTTCACTGGCTGCTCTGGGGGCCCCTGGGGGGGGTGATCCTCCTCCATGGACCAGAAGTGGCTCCCTATTGGCCTCCAGCCAGCCGCCTACCTCACCTGCTGGTAGACCTCAACAGCTGGCTTCCACAGGTGTTTCAGGCTGAGCCCCTCCATGTCAAACACCATCAGCACCGTCTCAATCTTCCTGCCCAGCTACATGGGACAGGACAATGATAGATGTCACACAACAACTCCGGCCAGGGGGTCCCGGCCGGGGAGACCCTGCACTGCTCCCACCTTCCTGCTACCCCCACCCCCAACTGCCCACAGGGTCTTCCAAACAGATCGAGCCCACCTAGGGTCTAAGAAGATGCTGCATCTGAGCCCCAGCACAGTGGCCCCTTATCACACTGTTTGCTCAACACAATTGGCCGGAATGAGTTAACTGTGGCACTGAAGACCTCACTCGTTGCCCATCGGGCATCTCCCTGTACAACAGTACGCTGTGTTAGTCAGCGTCTGGGTCCGGCAGTGTGTCAGGCTGTGGCAGGCTGTGCTGCCAGGCTGTGCGGCCTTGGTGGGGTTTTAACTGCTCTGAGCCTTATTTTCTCCCTCTGTGAAATGGGGATAATTCCAGGTTCTGACAGAATTTCCCGGAGGATTCAGTGAGATGAAGTCACAAAGAGCCCGGTGCCTGACACGAGCTGGCCCCTGGTAAATGTCAGCAGATGTTATTACTGGTATCGTCATCACCACAATTACCAGCTCTGATTGGAAATGTACACGAAGTAGAAGACCCTGTTGTGACCCCATAAAATCAGCCACCTTGTTCGAGACACACACATCTATTCGGACCAGGCACTGTTTGCAAGTCTCTCACGCTTGCCACAAATCTCTGTGCCAAGGGTCTATTTGGTGTCCAGCACCGTGACAGACACTGGGGACGCAGGCCCTGTCCTCGCCATCAAGCAGGTCATCCTAAAGTGACACAAGAGCTCCCCCTCCCCCCAGAGGTCTTCTTAGACTCATGGAGACACTTAGATTCACAAAACCAACAGACCACACTTAGCAGTAGATTCATGCTGAAGGGTATGGACCAGGAAACACAGAGTCAGAGCAAAGAGAAGATCTGTACAGACGGGTGTGGGTCCCTCCTGGCTTGGAAAGCCTATGCCCCACAGAACTCCATATTTTTTTTGGTAGCAATTCCATATTAGCTTCTGGGGACACACGACGGATGTGCCAAGTTTCAAGTCACTGCTCTCAGGGAAGCCAACAGTGATGGCTCCCCCATCAGGTTATGGTTGGGCAGTGTCCAACTGGGGACATCTTTTCCATAAGCAAGCTGACCATCCACTGTTCCCAGGGTTCCCGGGGAACAGAGCCAGAGCGTTAACTGAACCCAGGGTCAACATCTCACCCAAGGTCAGAGAGGAAAGGGATTTGGTGATCCTTGGCCCTCACCAGCAGAGAGTATCACGCACATGTTAGATGCTCAGAGATGGGTGACTGCAGGAGAAGCCATGTCCCACCAAAGCCCAGAGTGCTGAGGCCTGGGGAGAAGCGGAGGCAGCATGCCTCTCCCACCTGGTCGCCACCTTGGTGCCACCCTTTAGACAGATCGGGCCCACAGTGCACTTCCCATCCTGGACCCAGTCACGTACCTTCTGACTCTGCAGCTCACACTCCCGCAGAAGCAGCTCACAGACCCTGATGCGCTTCCGGATCAGCTCCTGCTTGGAGGCTGACAGGAGAAGACCCTTGGGGTCAAGGGTCCCAATGATGTCGAACCACACGGGGCAGCCTTCATAGTCATAGCCACTCAGACCACCGGAGTCGTACAGCTGGATCACCTGGGCACGGGGAGGAAGTCCTGACTCAAAGCAGCCTATCAGCCATCAGATGGCTGGATGTTGGGGGCACGTACGAAGGGCATCTGATGGTCTGTGGGGGATGCTGCATGGGGCTCACCTCTGAGGGTTGCCACGAGAGGATATTATCCAGGTCCTGTTGCTTCCGGAACTCCATGTGCTGTGGAGAAATGGCAGGACCTGAAGACTGCCTACCACAAACACCTTGAAGGCACCTGGGGGCATCGGGCCAGGTCCCTCTGCCTACAGCGCCCAAGACCCTGCCAGAGCACCCGCAGGCTCTTCTGACCTAGAACTAGAGGTGCCATGCCAGGAGGGCTGTGGGGGACCCAGGCCTGATGCAGAAAGGGATCCAAGGAGGAGGGAGGAAACACAGGAGAACAGGACAGGGCAAGAGTTCTTACTCTTTGTCACTGATCCCTGGGGTACAATGTGTGGGAGGCAGGACACTCCTGAGAATGGGGCCTCACCTTCCGGAGCATGTCCTCAGATTTCTGCAGGTCAAATTTCCGAGCTGCAAAAAGAGCCAAAGTAAGAGGAGGCTTGAGGCTGGATCTTGAACTCGCAGTTCTCTGAAAACTCATGAGGAAATAAGAGGGTGCCCGAGTCTTCCATGACACCCCAAGAATACATTGGGGGTCTGGACATTTTTTTATCATTTCATTTTTCCTTTTTAAGAAATATTTATTTATGTATTTTGGAGAGAGAAAGAGAGAGAGGGAGCACAGAGGGGTGGGGCAAAGGGAGAGTGAGAGAGAGAGAATCTCAAGCCGACTCCCTGCTGAGTGCAGAGCCCCACTCGGGGCTCAATCTCAAGACCCTGAGATCATGACCTGAGCCAAAATCAAGAGCTGGCCACTCAACCGACTGAGCCACCCAGGCGCTCCTGGACATTTTTTAAAAAGCAAGAATCCTTAATCCTCTAGAACACTTTGGAAGCCCTTGATTTCAGTATCCAAGCCTTTTTAAGCCGTTCATTCCAGGGGTGCCTGGGTGGCTCAGTCGTTAAGCATCTGCCCTCAGCTCAGGTCATGATCCCGGAGTTCTGGGATCGAGCCCCGCATTGGGCTCCCTGCCCTGAGGGAAGCCTGCTTCTCCCTCTCCCACTCCCCCTACTTGTATTCCTTCTCTCGCTATCTCTCTCTGTCAAATAAATAAATAAAATCTTTTAAAAAATAAAAATAAACTGTTCATTCCAGAGGCCGATCTGGCCTGTAATATTTGATGTCCCCAAGGGGGCACAGACCCTCTTGGTGTTAGGGGTAGTGAGGAGCATAGGCTTTGGAATCAAACAGACTTGGGTTTAAATTCTAGTTTTGTCCTTTTATTTGCTGTGCAACTTTGAGCAACTCACCTACCTTCTCTAAGTCTTGGTTTTTTAATCTGTTAAATAGGAATAATATATTCTTCAGTTATTCAAAGGATGACATGAGATAAAGCACATAAAATGCTTGACACATTACCTGGCTCCCAGGAACTTCTCAGTAAATGGTTAACTGTTGTTGTGATTACTTATTTTGAAGAAATAAATTCACTTTAATTGAAAATGTGATGCTTTATTTTAAAAATGAACCCCTTCTAGCCTTTATAGACTAGATTACTTTTTTTTCTCATAATATTGGCAAGGGTCTCTAGTTCTGTTTAAACTATGATGTTGCTTAACATCATCCCTTTCTTGTTCCCGATTTTAAAGAAATGCATCTAAAACTTCTTTTTTTTTTTTTTTTAAGATTTTACTTTTTTATTTGAGAGAGAGAGCATGAGCAGGGGGAGCAGCAGAGGGAGAGGGAGAAGCAAGCTCCCCGCTGAGCAGGGAACCCGATGTGGGGCTCGATCCCAGGACCCTGGGATCATGACCCGAGTGGAAGGCAGACGCTTAATGACTGAGCCACCCAGGCACCCCTTTTATTTTGTTTTTGTCTTATGAATAGGATTTGAGCCTTTTCAAATGCTTTTCCTGCATTGAGATAGCCACATAATTTCTCATTTTTAATTCTATTAATGTGTTCAATGGCACTGATAGATTGTCTGATGTTGAATTCTTCCTGCATACCTAAGATAAACTCCCGCTGATCGTGCTGTGTAATTTTAATACCTTATTGGATTCTATTACGTAGTGTTTCCCTTAGACTTCCTTACATCTACACTAACAAGTGAAACAAGCCCAGAATTTTCTTTTATTGTCCTGATCTCATTTTGGAATCAAACTAACCCAAGCCTCATAAAGTAACTTTCACTTTTTAAATATATTTTATTTTATTTTTTTTAATTTTTTTAAAGATTTTATTTATTTATTTATTTATTTGAGAGAGAGAGAATGAGAAAGAGAGCACATGAGAGGGGAGAGGGTCAGAGGGAGAAGCAGACTCCCTGCCGAGCAGGGAGCCCGATGTGGGACTCGATCCAGGGACTCCAAGATCATGACCTGGGCCGAAGGCAGTCGCTTAACCAACTGAGCCACCCAAGCGCCCTTAAATATATTTTAAAGCAACTACAACAATTTGTAAAAGCAGGTATCAGCTAATCTTAAAACTTTGGGAAAATTCGTCTGTAAAGCCATTGGAGTTTGAGTTCTGGAAGGAGGGAAGCTTTTTAGTACCATTTATATGTCTTTAATATTTATTGGTCTGTTGGGGCTTTCTATTTTCCTCTTGCTGGATTTTGGCCTTATATGTGTATTATAAGGAATGCACTGATTTCAGTGATATTTTCAAATTTGTGCATAATTGTCTATAATGTTCTTTTATTGGTTTCTAAAAAAATCTCTGTGATGTCGAGGAGATTTCCTACTGAGAACCAGGTTGGTTTCTTGTTCTATAGAAAGTGGTCTGGGGACTGTTGATGGACTCATAGTTTTTTTAGTAGCACCTACTAGGTGCCTGGCTGGAAGTATGGGGCAGGCACGGACCCTGCCGGCATGGAGCCGGCATCCGAGTGGGAGAGATGGACACAATCGTGAGATGGAAATAAAGAAAACAAAGTGAAGTGACTTGAAGTTGGGGGGGCCCCCTCTGCATCTGGCCTGAGCGGGGAGACTCCAAGTTCAGCCCCAGAGACCTCCCTCCCTGTTGCCCAGGTGTGGGGCTAGTGAGGCAGGCAGGGTGGCTACGGAGGTAAAGTTGAAGGGATCGGGGCCATGTCAGCCTGTCTGCCTCAGCAGAAAGTGGGAGGCATCAGGACACCCTGTCCCCTCTCTCCCAACCTTAGATCCTTCTCCCTTCCCGTGACCCAGCAGCCTACAGTGTCTGTGACTTCACTCTTTTCTCAACGACACACCAGGGACCTGAAAAGTTGGTTTTTAAACCCAGAAAGACTCCAAAGGAGGAGAGAGGTCTGATGCTGTATCAAGGGGCTTCAAGAAATCTACTGTCCTCACTCCTTCTTTAGCCCAGGAAAATGACATGGACATAACTTGTTGAAAACAGAATAGAAGCTGCCACAGCCAAGAGAGCCTAGGGAGATGATGACTAAATGTCATGTGGCATCCTGGATGGGATCCTGGAATAGAAAAACTAAGGAGATCTTAACAAAGTAGGGATTTTAGTTAATAACCACATATCAGTGTTGGTTCATGAATAGATGTACCATAAGAATGAAAAATGTTCATGATAGGGGAAACTGGGTGCAGGATATGTGCGGATTTCCTGTATTATCTTCACAGTGCTCTGTAAATCTAAAGCCATTCTAAAAAATAAAGTTTGTAGAAAATACTAATTAAAAAACATTACCAAATAGAACAAACAGAACAGAAGGGTGAGCTTCCTCTGTGTAGGCGCTGTGCACGCCCATGACCTCATGTCAGACTCACAGCATCTTGAAGGTGGGGGACCAGTATTATACCCACTACCCAGAAGAGAAAAGTGAGGCTGAGAGACAATGAGTGATTGCCAGAGGCACACTGCTAGCACACAGCGGAGCTGGGATTCAATCACAGGCTTGCCGGATTCCAAGGACGGCATTATCACCCCACTGCGCGTGCACTTTCCAGCCTGGCTTCTGACTTCTGTCTTGGTTCAAGTTCAAAATCCTTTCCATGGGGTGTGTTGAAATGGAATGAATTCTCCCCCTAGGTTTCTGTTATTCTAATTTTACACTCCTGTGACAATCCTTGGAAGAAACTCCTTCTCTACCTTTAATTGCATCCACTTCCTGAAGTGTTTGCTGGGCACCTGCTCAGTGGCCAGGTTCCCTCAGGGGATGACACAGCCCTGCCTTCAAGGAACTGGAGATAGACCCGTAGGCAAGTCCTGAAGAGTTTATCTGGGGCTATCTGACTCAAGGCCCAGCCAAGCCAGTCATCCTGAGAACTTCCCAGGTGTGAAGTTCACCTTCCACCATATGCCCACCCAGTGCCAAGCGTACACCCTCTCATTTAATGCTCACAGCAATCCTTGGGGAGGTGGCCCCATCCCACTTTACAGATGAAGAAACAGGCTCAATGGGGTTTTTGTGCCATGCTAATTTGGAGGGGAGTTCAGATTCTAGCCCAAAGCAGGGTGATTCCAAAGCCTATGTTCCCCACTCTATAGTACTTTCTAAGGAAGTCCCACCCACTTTCCTGAAACCCTCCTTCCCTCTCTCCCTCTCGGCACCCCCGACCCCGCCAGTCTCACCTCGGAGCCAGCGCAGGAGGAAATACTCATCGGCATTGGGCAGGGCGGGCAGCAGGTCCTGGAGGTTGTCCCGGAACTGAGGGGGAGATACAAAGGTCAGAGGGGCTCCCATGACCCCTGGGCTCCCAACCCCACCCCGACCCTTCCCGAACTCAGTCTGTCAATCAGTCCTGCCCAGGGACTCTGCAGGCTGGGGACCACAGAGAGAGCAGTGGCTGCCTCGACCTTTTTGCCACCTGGAAATGGAGCACCCCTCAGCCCACCATGGCAGGAAGAGTTGGGTCCTTCTCAAACTTTGGGGGCTCTCTGCCTCCCCAAAATCCTCATTCTATAGGTCTGAGGGGGGGCCCTGCCTTCCCTATTTTGACAAAGATCCCTGGTGAATCGGATGCAGGCAAACAAGAACAATTTAAGAACCTTGCCTTTGATATTGTATCTTGAAGGTCTAGATTTGGAAGCAAGTTGCTTAACCACTCTCAGCCTCAGTTTCCTCATCACAGGGACTAAGGGAGCTGAAAGTAAGCCCTGGAGGGGTGGGTTTGCAGGGGAATCTGTGAATGGGACTTTAGGATTAGAAGCCAATGCTAGCAAAGCCATGGGAAGCTATCTTAACAGCCATCCACCAAACCTCCTTTAGCTTTATAGATGATGTTTAAAATAAGAATGTGTTCGGGGGGCCTGGGTGTCTTGGTCGGTTGAGTGTATGCCTTTGTCGAAACTAGGCTTAGGAAAAACCTAGAAGGAAATGCTTCTAGGCGTGGTTGTCTAGACCTCTGGGACCATGGGTGACTTCTTTTTCCTACTTTCCTTTTTCTCCCTAGTTTTTAAAACAACTAACATTCATTTCTTTTAAATAACGGAAAAAATAAGAATAAACTCTTTTTACATTGTTTAAAGCTCTTTGACCCACAAGCATCTCCATCATAATTAACCCCCAAAGACCGGGTGTCCAGTCCCTCCCATGAGCCTAGTGTCCGGGGCTCCCCTGAGGCCTTTGCCAGTGGGGAGAGAGAGAGCTAAGCAGGGGACTCCCTCTCCTCCTTCACTTGGGGACCCCTCCTTCAGCTCAGGACCCTCTACTCCTGGAACCTCTTCCTATACCTGGGAATTCACCCAGGGCCCCCCATTCTTCACCTGGGACCCTTCTCTCCTTCACTAAGAACTCATCCAGGGTCCCCCTCCTTCATCAGGAGTCCTCATTCCTCCCTGGAGGACCCTCCCCAGGGTAGGAGCCATTCTCCACAAGTCTAAAGCCCGCCGTTCGTGGGCCCAAAGTGTGAGCCAGGGCCGTCACCTCCCTCCCCTAAACTGAAGTCACAGTTTCCAGGCCCTGCCATCTCCAAATCAGATTAATGTTGTAGCCCCTAAGACCTGAATATGCCCCCCCTTCCCCAGGGCATGACACTCTCAGCTGCAGCCTAAAGGACTGTCTTGAAATCACCAAACCGCCTCCAGTCCCCTTTAACGGAAACATTGACAACAGGGAGAAGGCTTGGGCCCTGGGGAGTCTAAAAACCACAGAGAAGCCAAACAAACAAATGTTGCAATCAGAGCAGGAGACCTGCTAGTCTGTCTGCCCAAGGCTGCCCAGAGGGATGGCAGCATCACCCTACCCCCACAACCAGGGGACAAGGGCCAGGGCTCTGTGGTCCCGAGAGAGCAGGATCTGAAAGCAGGATTCCGCCCCAGTGTAGCCCAGAGAAGGGCTCAAGTCCCGTGTCCCGTATATGTCTGCCTCAGCCACTGTGCCCAGTGGCGGGCGAGCTGGATAGAGACACCCTCAAGGGTCTCTTTTCCATCCAAACAGTGGGGGCTTCAGCCCCGGTGGGCAGCGTCAGGCAGCTCCCCAAGCCTCCCCCCCTTGTCCACCCCCCAAGCCCCTCACCCTGGCCAACGCCTCCTGCTGCTGGGGGCTCAAGTCCCCGATTCGGCCGCTCATGGTGCCCGCGGGCGCAGGGGTCGCGGGGTGCAGACGTGCCAGGAGTCTGCCCGCCGCCACCTGGCGTCGCAACCGCCGCCTGGTTTTATCTGGCCCGCAGATGTTGGCCCCGCCCCAAAGGGGACGGCGCCAGCCCTGCCCCGCCCCGAAGGGTTCTTGCCTCCCCTCCCGGTGCTTTGCGGGCGGTGGCCAGGAGGCACCCTACCCGGGGCAGGGAGGCGATCCGCTCCGGAGAGGTCCCGGAGCACGGACTCGAGGGGAGGGCAGCAGGCGTTGCTACCTCCAGGCATCCTCATCCCAGGGGCTCCTACAGGTTCCTGCGTGGTAGGGGAAGGGAGGGGGGGCGTAAAGGAGATGTGGGCAAGTTCTAGGGAACACGCCTAGATCCTCTTTCCCAGCAAAATGGACGAAATTTTCATAAACCCGGCTCAACCTTCTAGGTGATCCCCAGGAGTTTCTGCCCAAAGGGCCCCAACCTCTGTCCCCTGGCCTTGACCACAGGCTGCGGCGCCCTGTCTGTGCTCACTAGCTGATAGAAGCTTTTATGTGCAAAATGGTTCCAGCCCCAAGGTGGTCAGGAGGATTAGATAAGATGATCCACCAAGGGTTAGCCTGGCATGCCACATCCAGTCAGTGTGTAATGTTAGGAATATTATTTCATAATTACTATTATTATTGATACTTTCACCAGAGCGGGGAGCTACAGAGGTGGAAATTCTGGGATGGCCCCCCCTGGTGAGCCCATGGGTAGGATCTACAGCCTGAAGGCAGGGGAATGGGAGGTGGCAACAGTAGCTGGAAGCCCTGGGTGGGGTGGGGAAGGGGTCAGGAGGCCATGGGTGGTGGGCGGCTGACACAGGTGGCCAGGACGGCATCCAGGAACCCGGCAGAGGTCACTGAGAAAGGGGAGAAAACACAGGTTGGCCAGGCAGGAATTTTCTTTTCTTTCTTTCTTTTTTTTAAGATTTTATTTATTCATAAGAGACAGAGAGAGAAAGAGAGAGAGGCAGAGGGAGAAGGAGGCTCTCCGCTGAGCAGGGAGACCGATGCGGGACTCGATCCCAGAACCCTGGGATCATGACCTGAGCCGAAGGCAGAAGCTTAACCATCTGAGCCACCCAGGCACCCCGGGCAGGAATTTTCAAGAGAGGAGCAGGTGGGAGGTGAAGGTGAAGGGGGAGATAAATCAGGCCATCAGAACATTTCCGCCTCTGCCCCTCCCTCTGGGTTGAACCAAATTCCAGACCTGTGCAGACCCATCTGGTGGCCATGAACCACATGTGGCTGTAGAGTATTGGGACTGTGGCTTGTCACTAGCACTCATGGAGATATACATGCCAAATTTCGAAGACGTAATACCTCCAAATGAAATATTTCATTAATTAATTTCTTAGATTGATTACATGTTGCAATAATTGTTTTGATATGTTAGAATAAATAAGATGTATTATTAAAATCAATTTTGTCTGTTTCTTTTTTACTTTTTCATACTTTTAGGAATTTTTTAAAAAGATTTTATTTATTTATTTGACAGAGAGCTAGCTAGAGAGAGCAAGCAGGCAGAGCGGCAGGCAGAAGGAGAGGGAGAAGCAGGCTCTCTGCTGAGCAGGGAGCCCAATGCGGGGCTTGATCCCAGGACTCTGGAATCATGACCTGAGCCGAAGAACCAACTGAGCCACCCAGGCGCCCCTCTTTTAGAATTTTTTAAATGAATAAGCTTATTTTCTAAGGCAGTTTTAGATTCACAGCAAAACTGAGCAGAAAGTATAGAGAGGTCTCATATACCGTGTTCCTCCCACCATACGCACAGCCTCCCCCACTGTGGACATCCTCCACCAGAGTGGGACATTGGTTACAGTTGATGAACCTACACTGACACGTCATTATCACCCAGAGTCCATAGTTTACATTAGGGTTCACTTCTGGTGGTACATTCTATGGGTTTGGACAAATACATAGTGTGATGTGTATTCACCACTACGGTATCATACAGAATAGTTCTACTATTTTCACTAAAATCCTCCGTGCTCTAGTCTTTTTACTTCTTAAAAATGTGGCTACCAGAAGATTTTAAATGACATATGTGACTCGCATTTGTGCCTTGCATTGCATTTCATTTGGACGGCGCTGTCCTAAAGGGATTTAAAATCTTAATTTTTAAAAAAAGTTTAAAAAGCTAAAAGAAAGTGAAACTGACACTTACCATGTCTCTGGAAGGGCATGTCTTCGCTTGAAAGCAATGACAGAAATCACAAAGGGGGCAATCAATTGATTCGACTGCACAAAAATACAAAAATGTGTTAAACAAGACACACAATTAAGTCAGCAGTTGCTAATGTGAATTTGTAAAAAATAAAATGTACAAAATTGGTATCTTCATAAAGAATGCATGTAAATTAATGAGAAAAATACTAAGGCACTAAGAAATGTACAAAGGACTCAAAACACTAACTATCAGAAGAGGAAATGCACAGGGAAAATAATCTAGTGGATAAATGCTCAACCTCCAGGTCACCAAAGAAATGGGTATACAATCAATGAGATACCTTCCCCCCAACCCTCGGCCAAATCAGCAACAAAACAGAAACAGAACAAACCAAATAATGGGCACACACACAAATGTGCATACACGCACATACACCCACAACTTTTTTTTCACACACAACTTTTTAAATAATATGATAATAAAGGTAGAAGTTGGTGAAATGGAGACATTTATACATTGTGGCAGGACTGGAAAGTGATTCAGCTTTTCTCGGAAACTACCTGACAATATGCATTAGGATCCTCCAATACTTTACCACTTTGTCCAATAAAAATGCTAACAGGGGTGCCTGGGAGGCTCAGTCTGTTAAGCGACTGACTCTTGGTTTCAGCTCAGGTCATGATCTCAGGGTCACAAGATTGAGCCCCACGTTGGGCTCCCTGCGTAGCTCAGAATCTGCTTGGGACTTCCTCTCCCTCTCCCTCTGCCCCTCCCCCCTGGGGCTCTCTCTCTCTAAAATAAATAAATCTTTCTTTTTTTAATCCTAACTAACAGAAAAGATTTTCAGCTTAAAGTTGGGGCGTGCATTGTTAACAGGAAAATTGGAAACAATTTTTCAGGAAGCCACAGTGCTTAATGTGGTTAATGAAGCATTTATAACCACACAGAAAAAATGCCATGAAACAATTTGGAAAAGATGAGACCACATTATATATGCCATATGCTTCCAGACCATAAAACAAAATCCACACAATAAAAGAAGGGCCAGGCAAAAAATGTGCTCCCAACTTTTCCCAGTCTCTGAGAAGCGGGAAAAGTCATATTTTTGAAATGCCACAGGTAACGAGTCACCTCCAAAGAGAAGGCTTTGTTTATCAAGTGCTTACTGGTATTTTCCATGGGCCAGGCCCTGTTCTGAGGGCTTTGTAAATATTAGTTCAGTACTGTCCAAGAGATAATGGAAGCCACAAAGGTAACTCTAAGTTCTCCACCAGCCACATTTTAAAAAGCCTAATTCTGATTATGCTTTATTTAGCACAGGGTATCCAAAATGTTATCATCTTGACACATAATCGATATGATTAATAAATGATATAAATTAATTATCTCGTTAAAAATTAGTAGTGAGATATATTGCATTCCTTTTTTGTACTAAATCTTTTTTTTTTAAGATTTTATTTATTTGTCGGAGAGAGAGAGAGAGAACGCAAGCAGGGGGAGCAGCAGGCAGAGGGAGAAGCAGGCTCCCTGCCCTGAGAGAGAGAGAATGAGAGACAGAGAGCATGAGAGGGAGGAGGGTCAGAGGGAGAAGCAGACCCCCGGCCGAGCAGGGAGCCCGACGTGGGGCTCGATCCCAGGACCCTGGGATCATGACCTGAGCCGAACGCAGATGCTCAACCAACTGAGCCACCCAGGCGTCCCTGTACTAAGTCTTTGAAATCCAGTGTGATTTAGTATTTCAGCTTAGTATGTAGTCTTTCATTTCAATCCCGACTAGCCACATTTCAAATGCTCAATGAGCCACATGTGGTATTTTGGGTTGAATTGTGTCCCCTCCCAAATTCATATGTTGAAGCCCTAATCCCCAGTATCTCAGAATGTGGTCTTGCTTGGAAACAGGGTCATCACAGATGTAATTCGTTCAGATGAAGTCATACTGGAGAAGGGTGGGCCCCTATTCCAAAGTGACTGGTGTCCTTACGAAGAGGAGACATTTGGATACAGACATGCCCACGGGGAGAGTACCATGTGAGGGGGAAGACAGAGATTGAGGTGATGCTTCCATGAGGGAAGAAATGCCAAAGATTGTCAGTAACCCATCAGAAGCCAGAGGAGAGGCAGGGAGCAGATTCTCCTCCCATAGAAGGAACCAAGCCTGCCGATACTTTGATCTTGGACTTCTTGTGTCCAGAACTGTGAAAGAATACATTTTGTTGTGTAAGCCATTCAGTTTGGGGTACTTTGTTATGGCACTCCCAGCAAACTACCATAGGTGATTAGCAGTTGCCTTCTTAGACAATGCAGGGTTCATTCACTTAGTCCTCCTGACACATTCTGAGATTGGCACGATTATTACCCCACTTAGGGACCAGGAAACTAAAGCTCAAGGAGCCTCTGAGGTCTCAGAGCCAGCAAGCAGCAAAGCCAGGGTCAGAACCCAGCCAGGCTGGTAGGGGTCCAGGCACTCACCACCATGCCATATCCTTTTACCTGCCAAGTTCCCTGCGTCCAGGTTACCCTCAGGTCCTGTCATGCTGACACAACTCAGATGTCCTTCTTCTGAACCTGTAGGGTGATACCACCTCCTCAAGGTCAGCCACTGGCTGGGCATGGAGGACTTTCAGTCTAAGCATCTGGGCACCAGCGCTTTGAGGGACAGACAACTCCCCTCTTCCATGGTGGGCCTGTCTACCCCCGCCTTCCCAAGCTCATTCCCTTGGTCCCCCTGAGCCATGGGCTGAGAAGCTGAACTACAATGATGGTATCATCATGGTATGTAACCTTAATTCCGTATCTCCTGCCCATCACTGCACTGCCTCTCCCTCCCACCTCCTGGGTGCTCCAGAAACTCCAGCCATC